GAGAATACTTACATTTGACTTACTAATACAGAATGAAGCAAAGTATTTTAATATTGGACATACTGAAGGATAATTTTGAACAATGGACCCAGAAGTTAATTTTAAGAGTGTCTGCCTCTACAGACAGACTGTGTTTAAAAGATGTTATGAAAGAGGAACAAGTTTGAGCAATACTCGACAAGATTGAGACTGATCTGAAAGTGGATTTAAAAATGACAGGGTATAAGAAAGATATGAAAAAAGATACTACTCTGGACATACAAAAGAAACTGGCTAATGTCTTAATAATTAAGAGGGATGTACAAATAACAAACCAAGAGAGTGACCTGGATAATTTTCCTATGAAGGATTTACAAAAGAGGCTTGTTAAAGCTTTGAAGAATTTTGCGAGAAAGGACAAAGAAAAAAAGAAAAGAAATCAAGTTCTAGGTCATTATTTGAAGGGACTACAGATCAAGATTGTTGAAAATAAAAGGAAAGAATGTAAAGTTGGATTATTTGATCAAGGTTAAAATAGATGTGTTGTTATCTCTGTTAAACCTTAATGGACTTTTGCTGAGCAGGACTGAAATGATGAGGTTTTAAGTATTTGTTAATAGGTAAGAGATGGGATATGAGAAGAAGAGATCATTTGTTGTATTTTAAGAGAAGGTGATAAGTTATTTAAGTTGTTTATACTTGTTGTGATGAAGGGGGAAGTAATTTCTTTATATATTTCTTTTTCTTTACTATATTCTTATTTCTCTTTCTTTTCTATTTTCTATTTTTTATTTTCTGCACTATTTTTTCTTTTTCTTTTCTTTTTTTAGTTTGTATTAGTTTTCATCTTTGTAATTCTAATTTTTAATAAAATTACTATTAAAAAAACAAAAAACAAAATGAAATTTATCCTTATAAAACACTGGAACAATTTTACAATTACCAAACACAAGTTCTTAGATACAAACCCTTGAAAATTATATCTCATGGAGAAGTTTCAAAGCATTGGCTACAAAAGGAGGAATACTGTATGACTGGTTGCACATATATTAATGCAAGACATCTTTATGCATTTTATTTAAAGAACTTACAGTGACCCTAGGCAGCAAAAATCTCAGGTAGGAGACTATTCCGAAGAGCTGGGGCAGCTACAGAAAAGGTGTGTCTTTGAGGTCCTATCAGGCAACAGCATTTAAGGGAAGGGAGCTGGAGCACACCCAAACCTATCTGACCTAGTGGGAAAGGCAGACTCTCTCAGGAAGAGGCAGTACCACAAATAACCTGGTCTTGTGCCATGCAGAGCTTTAAAGGTGACAATCAGCATCTTGAATTGCACCCTTTATGCCCTATTCTTTTATTTTTCTTATAATAAGTACTATTCCCATTACCACAAGATGAAATGGCAAGATACAAGCTTGGATCAGTTCACTTCACCTTTCTTATTCTTAGTTTCTCATTTGCTTAATTTTACCACTGTAATATTCTTCCAGAATGATTTTTTAATGATTTACTGATGGCCAATAAACTTAGTTTTAGTTTTGGAGATGCTTGTTCTAATAATTCTTATCAAGCCATGTATATTCAGTATGTTACTAGTACCTCAGGATATTTTTCATAAATCATAAGTAGCTTTCATTAACAAAAAAATCTCAAGGCCCTTATACACGTACATGTAAGTCTTCCTATTCAAATTATGCAGTAGTACAACTTTCCATAATCCAATATCTTAGCAAATGAATTTCTAGTAACAATGGGGTTGTAGATTAATGGAGTTAGAGGACACCAACATGATGAAGGTTGATTAGCTAGCAAGCCACTTTGGTAATGTTTGTTAAATTGAACAATGCGATATAAAGTGCTGCCAAATTAATGTCTTGTCTTTGAAAATCCATCTTTGTGCAGGTGGATTGTAGATCTTTAGGAATTTATTAGATAAAGCTATTTACATATATGTCTCTATATGAAGCCAGCAGATGATGTAGTCACAGTAAGACAAACATATGACAAAGCATGTTATTTGAAGGAAGTATCCACACAATTATTTTAAGGGATAGCAATTCTAGTTTCAATGAACTCAGGGCTAATTCAATAACTGACATTACCAATTACCAAGAACTGCTAGAAAAATTATTTTTAAAGGATGCAATACTATAGGGATCTTACTAGATATAGAGCTGTCACAGGAATACTTTACTACAGACCATCTATACTGTGAGTTCCCCACCTCAAAATTAGTCACGTAAAGTGGACAGAAAATACTTGAAGAAAGCACTACCAAAGACATTAAAGTTGTTATAAATTAAGGTTGTAATTTTGATCAATTATTTGGTTAGATAGATTTTTAAAATCTCATCTAATTAACTAAAATTCATCCTTTGAATACTGGGTAATATACTGGGATACATTTAAAATAAAAAAACTCTCAAGCAATTATTTATTTGTCCCATTTACATTCATAGATAAAAATTACGGGTTTATACTAAGGCTACTTAAAACAACTTTTATTCATTGATTAATACACTTTATTAAATTTTAAAACAATCATTTTACTATAATAAAATGTGAATAGTTACAAATATTAAGATATATTTTTTTTAAGTCAGCCCTAATCTAAACCTGTAAATATATTCTACATATACCCCTGTACTTCTTACCTTCATCTGTTCGATTTATCTCTTGCTCAATAAGCCGCGAAGTACTGGGTCGGGTGGGTGGTACAACAGAAGGCTGTAATGCAGGGAGATCATCAACATCTCTCAAATTAGCAAGCATGTCTTGCAGTTTTGACCTGTTGGGTCCTGGCCAAAAAAAAAAGTGCAAATATTGTGTCAACCTTAGAAGTAGCGCTGCCAAAGGTGTTCCAGGACTAGTGACAATGGGTGCTATCTTGAGCAAAGAAAAATGTAAATGTGATCCGAGTAGAGAGGACTAGCTTCAGCAACAACTAAACTAAAAGCATGAAATGAGATGCTGAGGAGAGAGAATAATGAAAACTAAGATGTGCATACATACATACACAGACACACTTTTGTTTACTTTATGAACTTGCATGAAAATGTAAAATAAAACCAAGTGAAAGCAAATGATAAAACAAAAAGTTTTCTGAATATTAAAATACTTGTGAGTTTTGGGGGTTTTTTGCACAAGTTTTGAAAATTTCCCCACATGGGGCAGGACTGCAGCTTTATCAGTTGTGCCACAATCTTTAAAAAGTGATTTGCTTAACAAAAGAGAGAGAGAGAGAGAGAGAAAGGAAAAAAAAAACAAAATCAAGCAAGAATAACTGGTTTTGCTCTTCCTGAAACTATATGTGGTGAAGACCCCATGCCTTTCTCAACACTTACCTGTATTTTGCTCCATCATTTTCCCACATCCCTGTTTTGACTGTTTTATAAAGGACTGAGGCTGAAACATATCTTCGGTAGTTTTTCCTGTTGTAAGTTTAATTAAGAATGGGAAAATATCTTACCCACAGTCCATAACTGTTTTTCCTATCTAGTAAATACAGCTTTTGTTAGTAGCTAAAAGCATTCCAACACAAATCTGAATGTAATGTTGCTCACAAAGACTTGCTACAATAGCCTTGCCAAATCTTAGAAGTATCCTCATACCAATTATTTGACCCATTATTATTGATGAAACTCTTAAATAGTAATAGTACTATGAATATTTGCTTTGATCATACATAATTTAATTCACATTTAAAGTCTGCAAATATATAATATATAAAATTTGACAGTCATCATTGACCAGATCAAAATTAGATTTAGTTTTACACCTGAACATTCAGGTCCCTCCAACTCAGATTTCTATGTTTATCTTTTCATCAATTTGATAAAAGAAGTTCATTAGAGTTTTAAGTTGATGTAGCTTATATAAAATTAATTTCCTTTTCAGGAGCATTTTGTCCTGAACAGATGCTTAATTTCTGTAATGGCAAAAAGCTACCTGACTTCACACAACTTATTTTTTTATCAGCCAAATTTTGTTTGGTGGAGATGGAAGGAGCCATCATTCTTGCCCATCATTACCTCTAAGGCCCCAAAAAAGATATGCTATGAGTTTCATAAATGATTGGGATCCACATAGTTTACCAAAGAATTTCTAGTCAAATCCCCCAAACTCTTCACCTTACACATGGACTGAATGTAATAAATAAGATTAATTTGCACATTAATTTACATGCCCAATCTTTTTGTCAAATGTGCCAAAACAATAAATCCTGCAAAACAGCTTCCTATTTATCAAGCTTAACAAAGTTCATCTACTAGGTGACAGAGGCTGCAATACTGGTGAGTTGACAGATGGGGAGCTAAAGTAGATATCTGTATCTATGACTGAATAGCAGAAGCCAACACAAAGAGCATGTTTATTGGGGAGTCATTCTCTCAACTAAGATGCCTACCCTGCATTTCTACAGAATACAACTCATGCTGCTCAGGAAGTGTTCTTCAAAGCTCTGAAGAGAGCCTTCAAGAGGAGAAGGATGGAAAAAGAAATACAAGTTGCAGGTGCTGCCTTCTACTTGTGCAACAAGTATTGGCAACTCATCTTGACAAGTAAACTGTTAGAAAGCTACAATATACACAAACAATCTGCAAGATGAACTCACTAAGCCATGCTCTGTTTTAAGACTGATATAACTCCAGCAGTCTGGGCTACTTGACACATGAATACTTAAAAACTTGACACGTTCTATGCATTTAAAAGTCACAACATTTATTCATCTTATTTTGATTCCCAAATTATGGAATACAAGAAAGAAGAGGAATAGCACAAAATGGCAAAAGTGCACCAAAATCTAACATTAAGGGAGCTTAGCAAACAATTTTCATTGTGAAATCCATTAACTGAGGCTAATAATGGGATAAGAACTGAATACCCATTTTAAAGTAGGCATTGCTTAGTTTCTGAGTTGGTGTGGCTCATAGAAGCCTCCATACTTAAAGCAAAAAAGGGATATGAGAGCCTGGAGAAGTTGGACAAACTTCCAATTTCTGCTAATGATGTTACGTGCACAACGTTTTGAAAGAATGGAATGCTAGTTGATAGGACTGCTACAGGTCCTACAAGTTATTTATATACAATCCCAAACTAGTGAACAGGCCTTATTCACCTTTCCTGTTAAATGATTCAAGTGGTGGGATACAAGTAATTGACTAGGTGATGACCATCCCACAAAGCATGCTTAAAAGGCTCCGTGAGATACATGTTTCTCCTCTTAAAAAATGCCTCCTAATGACTTCTGGGGCAAATATAGGCAACTTCCTAGTTATCACATCTGAGAGACTCTACTCATTCCTCAGAGTCACCTTATTCATTGGTTTGTAAATATGAACAAGTATGCAATTTCTGACCAATACCACAGCAAGTATTTTTCATCAAATTCCATTGTCTAGTGTGCCTTTTGCCATTATATTTATATTATTTATCTTTTAATGCCAAATGTATTTGCACTGCTTCATACTAATACAGTGATCCAATTAAAATATTAGCCATTCTTTTTAATTCCATGATAGTAACATAGCTAACGCTACAAGCCACAGAAGAGACTTTAGAAAAATGCTAAAAATTAGCAATTAGTACATAATAATGTACCTAATAATTGGAAATAAGCTAATTCTTTACATCAGTGTTTCAAACATATCAATAATTTAAATTAACCATCTTGTAAATGTCAACCTCAATGATACCGTTCAATTATTATGTAAGCTTTTGTATTATTCCTATATGCATTTACAAATACAATTTCTATATATGGAATTTAAATCTATGACTTCCATATTAAACATAGGAAAGGGTAGTACTGTATATTCGGAGAACTTCTGCATGATAGATTTATATTTTGAGAAATGGAAAACAGTATGATGCACAGGGCTAGAAATTAAATTTCAAAAACTGATCCAATTGTTTGCCTGGTTTATAAATACCACTCAACTGAATTCAGTTATTAAATCAAAACTAATTTTACTAAAAGCCCAATACAGTTTTTTTTTCTATTTCGAGCCCTGCATTCAGGTTATGAGAACAGCATGACCTACATGAAGCAAACATTAAAATATAAACAAGGGTAGAAATTAATTCATTAACTTTCATTCTTGTTAAGGATATGTCCAGACCAAAAATCCTCCACTATAATTCTTTATATACTAATTTGGCTTATTATTTGTGTTCCTTTTTGACTGGAATATTCCTGGTACTATAGGGAGTTTTGTTTTGAAACATGCCATTAAATATCAGACACTCTACACCCCACTATGTATACATACTTGAAGCACTAGTATGCAGAAAAGGCAAGAAAAACAGGCAAGGCAAGAAATATACTTTTATAATATCCAATAAACCTGTTGACTTCATGTAAGGGGAATTACCCCTAAGCTGTCATAAGACAATTAACAGGTGAAAGAAATTAGCACTGAAATCCAAAGGGCTGTCTTAATCAAGAACCTGTATACAAAAGATGGGTTTTTTTATATACTATCAGATATGACTGGGAAGTCCAAGCAATCTGCAACATATAGAAATTGCCAGTTGGCTGTTTGGGACTTGGTCATGATATAGGCAAATATAATTCAGTTCATATATGCAGAGAAAAAGCTTAATTCCCACTTATTGCAGTATTATCTTCAACATCAAAATTCCAGAAAGGCAGATAAGGAGAGATGATATGATGCTAATTATACTGCAATAATTCTCCCACATGAACGTTGCCTGGTTTGGGTTTTCATGGAGACTTCTGGTGAGGACATGGTGAACTGACATCCCTGAAGAAGCGGGAACAGCATTATGGCTGAAACCAGTGGCCAGATGCTGATCTGGGCCAGTGAAATCTCTCCGGAGAAAGGAGAGATCATAAGATCATCCTTATGAGTAGATGGAAGGAACTGAAGTTTTTGCAGTTGGCTTATGAGTTGAGCAGCTGGGAGCCGAGAAATTCTATCTAAGCTCACATTCATAATGTAGCCTTTATGGACAAAAGGTTCAGCCAAGCCACATTTCTTAATTCACTTTAGGAATTACTTTTTTACTGTCTTTTAAATATTGAGAACCTTCAGAACAACAAATTTTATGGCATTCACTGAGTGAGTTTCCTTCAATATTTAGCGAAAGAAGTTTTAAGCATGAAATTAAGTTCTTAGATTTCTCCTCCCCCTCTGGATTAAACAGCAAAAGGGTGATTAGAATGCTGATTTTAGAAAGCTGTAAATGGACTAAGGGTCCAGATGGATTTGAAGTAAGAGTTTGAATTTAACTATAAGAATCCTTCCTGTGGGAAACTGCTGATGTTTTGAAACTGGGGGGAAAAAAATGATAGGATGGGACTTTGAAGTGTGGACACTAGAGGGAACCAGAAGGAACTAAAGATTATAATTAAAGTAGAAGAAAATCTAAATGTGATTTGCTAATACAGTGGAGCAAAATACTTTAACATTGGATGTACTAAAGGATATTTGTGAACAATGGACTCAGAAGTTAATTTTAAGAGAGAGAAAATGAGAAAAAAAATCCAGAAAATCACATTGTCTGATTTTTAAAGAATTTATTTGCAAATCATGGTGGAAAATAAGTATTTGGTCACCTACAAACAATAAAGAATTTATTTGCAAATCATGGTGGAAAATAAGTATTTGGTCACCTACAAACAATAAAGAATTTATTTGCAAATCATGGTGGAAAATAAGTATTTGGTCACCTACAAACAAGCAAGATGTCTGGCTCTCACAGACCTGTAACTACTTCTTTAAGAGGCTCCTCTGTCCTCCACTCGTTACCTGTAGTAATGGCACCTGTTTGACCTTGTTATCAGTATAAAAGACACCTATCCACGACCTCAAATAGTCACACTCCAAACTCCACTATGGCCGAGACCAAAGAGCTGTTGAAGGACACCAGAAACAAAATTGTAGACCTGCACCAGACTGGGAAGACTGAATATGCAATATGCAATAGGCAAGCAGCTTGGTGTGAAGAAATCAACTGTGGGA